CTATTATACATAGGCAAAGTTGTTTCTGGGTATCATTCATATTAATCCAATTCACGCTAACAATGTTAGTAATCTCTCTCAGATTTATCAGATTTAAGTAATCCTCATATTATTTAAACATACATAAAACAAAATGCCTAACATCTATAAACTTTTATTATTTTTATTCATTCTATAAAAAAATATATTCTAATATTTTTCCTATCTAATTTTATTTCTGCCTCTTTCATCTTACCATCAGGCTACTTTAATATTTAAAGGACAATTCTTTCTAACCATCATCTCTTCTCTTTAGTGCTTCAATTCTTATCCATTTTTTAATTCGCCTTCCACACTCCTTATCTTTGTCTCTAAATCTATATCTTTCTTGTTCAATCTAAACCGTTCTCCCAGTACAGTCTTGTACTGCCAATTCTCCCAGATGTCTGCCCATGTCCCAGTCTCCTTATCAAAGGTATCTTCCTGTCTTTTCAGTTGTCGGTTTGTCTGTTTTATTTTCTTCGGTCTTTCTCCCTTTATCAGATGGTTTGTCAGTCCTATTTTTTGCTCCAGTCCTTGATTTATTTGTTGATGTGGCCAATCCATCTGTTCTGTCCGCTCCTTTTGCTTGTCATTTATCTGGTCTTCCTCTTCGTCAAGCTGTTGCTTCATATGCTGGTTTTTCTGATCCATATTTTTCTCTATTCGTATTCAATTTGCTGGCTTGAGTAATCCATTTCATCTAGACTTTCTGTTGCTTCAACCAGTTCACGGGCAGTTTGATCTTTGTTCATTGTTCTTTGCAAAATGTTTTCCATTTTCTCACCTATACCATCAATTTGCATCCATCATATTTTGGAACAACAAAGTCATCTCATTAAAAGATCCTTTCATTTCCACAGCTGTTCCTTCAACTCCAGTCATAATAGCAATAAAGGTGAAATAAACAATAAAGTCACAATCTAGTTCAGAAAGAATCCAAATTTCCAATCATTAGTAAATGGGGCTCTCCTCTCAAGTTTCCATGCTGCCTTTTTCCAACAGGTATTTATTTCACTCAAAATCCATTTCTTTCAAAACAAAGTAAATTATTTAGATGACCCAGTTCCAGCATTTTCTCTGATAGTCCAAGGTATTTTCCAAGTTCTTTAAGTCTGCTCTGTGGTTTTAGTCTTTTATTCTAGCTTCCTAGAGTCTCTTATAAAACGTGTTTCTTATTTCCACCTCTGGTAAGCATAAGGCAATAAACAGTTAAAAATCTCAGCCACCAAATTTTCTCCTCTGTAAATTTCCAGGAGTCTAGGAGTCACTCTTCCTTTCATCAGTAGATGGTGCTCTTGACTTACTTTTCAACATAGATTTCGGAAGTGATTATTTTCACAGCTTAAACAATTATCTTTTTAGACTCTCTTATCATGGATTTTTTTATTTTCCTTGGGGTTAATTTTTAAGTAGAAGAATCATCATCTCACCCAGAAACAATCTCTGTTCACTGTTTTCTTTTCTCCTGCACTTTCTTAGGTGTTCTGGCTGTCCTCAGCTTCATGGCAGCCATGTTGACTGCCACTATCCTCGTCTTCGGATGAGGAGGATTTTCCAAGTCAGGGAGGAGAGATGCGGCTCTCCTCGACCTGCAAGACTCTTTGCTTCACCACTCCTACAAGGTGGCTATGGCTCCTTTCGGAGCCCTCTGATGTGGAGAGCTCAGAGCAGGGTTGCTGAGCTCGCGGTCCTTGCCCCCAATGCTGCTGGAAGCCCCATGTTTTGTTGTACAAGCCTCTGTTGGCTGAATTTATACATTGTGCTAAACCAGGGGTGTCAAGCTCTTGTCATGGAGTTGTCATGTGACGTATCATGACTTTTTCCCCCTTCGCTAAACCAGGCATGGATGTAACCAGTGTGTGACACATCTGGCCCATGGGCCACGAGTATGACACCCCTGTGCTAAACCTTAAATTGTGGCATACAAATCCTAGTGATTGGAGTCACACAAAGTAGCTAAAGTCAAAACCATCATGTTATACATTAATGTATTGCTTGTCCTATTCTGATAACTATATGTACTAGCGTCTCTAGCAAATTTCCTAAGACCTAAACAACAGATCCTCCAACTGAAAGGGCACCATATTCTGTAAAAGTCTTCAAGCATCAAATACATCTATGATAATAGGCTTACATGAGAGCTGGTCTATTAAACCAGAATCTAAAAATTCTCATTCTTTCCCATGCTTGATCTGTGTCTTCAATAGTAGACCACTGAAGTGGCATATTCAGGGTAACAGATGCCTCAAACCGCAAACCAGATAAACTTAAGTAGAAACAAAAGACAGTAGTCTAATTCTTTTGAATATATTAGCTTGCCAGAGAAGATACTTATTTCTTGAATGAGTAGAAATATTTTCTTCATTTAAGTCAAGATCAAGAACAGGTGCTCTCCTTTTGTTCTCCAACTGCTAGTCATTTGCTTCCAATTTGTTTTGCTTTGCTTTGGATGACTTCAAAAACTGGGAAGTTGTAGGAAGGTAAGAGTTAATAGAAAATATATATTCTGTTGTATCTCAAACAGTCTTAGTGAATTAGTGGGAGCTATATACATATGCATGAGTGTCACTGCACTGTTCGTTTCATCTCAAAATGGTGTTTCCTTCCTGTAATGACTTGTATCTAGACTTTTAAAAATGTCCTGCACTGCTGAGGAATCTCTAATTTTCAAGACACCATTGTGGATGGATATGGAGCTTTTGACTGAGCTGAATTAAAAGAAATGTGAATAGGAAATGGAAGATGGGTGTAATTGGTTAGGAGGTGTACCAGCAAGTACACCTACTATCTACACAGAAAAAGTTAAAATGCAAAAAGAACCTAAAATGGAAAAGGGGATCAAAAGCAACAAAAGGGCTGTTTTTAAAAGTATTCCATCAGTACTCCATCAGTACAGTAAAAAGGAAGGAAAAGAAAATTGTGAATCCACTATTTAGAGAAATGGTAGGAAGTTCATAGGGCAGAAATCCTCAACTTTACTATATTTTCTCCCCAAAAGGAATGGTTTTAAAATACATTTAAACACAACAATTGACACAAGGAAGGAGTGGCAACCCAAGCTAAGCAAAAAGATGGTAGAGCATACAGTATTCAGTATCATGAATAAATTTAAATCACCAGTTGGTTAAGAAACCTTGAAGATGCAGATAATTATCTCATAGCCAGTTTCTGTGAAACCACGGAGGAAATGCATAAAACCAAAGAACTGGAGAAGACAAATGTTCCTCTGCCCTACAAGGTAGACTATTCCAAGAAATCAACTCCATAGGTAGTCTAAAGCTACCTTTATTGAGATTGGCTACAATAACAAAAATCTTGCAAGTCTGGTTGCTGTACTCCTCCTCCTCTTTATAGTTCATCAGATTGGGGAGATTTCTGCCTGAATCATTTCCAGATGCTATTTGGATGTTCTGGACTTAAAAAATGCTTAGTCCCAAATGCCTAGGGAACAGAGCCTGCATATGTTTGCCAAGATAATCTTCCTTAATCTCTATAATATTGGGGTATGTACAGAGGAGAGTAACCAAAATAATAGGGGACCTGGAACAGATTAACTCATGAAAAATTATCAGAAGCATTAGGTACATTTAACCTGGACAACAGAAGACTTGTGAAGAGATATGACAGCTGTCAAGTATCTAAAGTGCTTTCATGTGGAAGTTGAAGTAGAACAATTAGATGTTGTTACAAGGGCCAGTACAAGAAACTATGAGTCTGAATTACAAAGAAGTAGGCTTAAGACATTAGGAAAAAATTCTTAATAATAAGTTAATCTCCTGTTGGATGGTGCAGTCTCCTCCATGGCAAAAGTCTGATGTTAGAAGTAATATGCATGGCAAAAATTATTTTTTCCTGCTTTCAGTAGTGGGGAGGCAAGGGGATAAAAATATTCATTTCTTTTAGCCTGGCTTAACGTTATGACATGTTTTCTAATAGAACATGGAAATTATATACAGCTACCACAAACACTGGTATTCTTTTTGCCATGCCATGCCAAGGCACAAGACTTAATTGAAGATTGTGGCTCAAATTAGTCACCGTTTACCTCCTGAAAAGAAAATACTCTCATTTCTTCCACTGTGTGATGAAGCTTTACCAGAAGGAAAGCACCTGGGAGTCTTTTCTTTCTCTAGCCTTCTTTCTCCCCTTCTCACTCCCTATCCCCATGTTCTTGGATGAATTCTGGTTGGACTCAGATTCATGTTTGCAAAGGGCAACCATTCAAATGCACACTAAAGGGCAAATGAGAGATTTATCCGTCTCAGATATAGGACGTGGGCTGGTACATGTCTTGGATAAGTATACCTTTGTTACTACAAAGGGGGCTGCACTGAAAAACCGGCTTTTTAAAAGGTTGTGGAATAAATAAAAAAAAAAAACAGTTGAAATGGCCCAGTTTTGTAGGGCTGAACAGGGCTAAACAAGAGCCAGTTTTGCTCTCTCAGGGAGAAAAATACTCTCCACACAGGATAGTAGCCAATGCAACAATTTGCGGCTTCTGCTGACAGCAATTTACATTTTCCCTGGGTTAATTCCAATACAGTTTAAAACCAAAGATTTGCCAAATGTGTTTGCAAGGAAAATACATTTGGCAAATCCATCGCTAGCTTATGTACAATTTAAAATCAAGATCAATTGTTTAAATTGTCCTATGTGTGTGTGTGTGTGAGAGAGAGAGTGGGGAGGGGACACACATTGACACACACAATTGTTCAGGGAAATGCCTTTGTTGTTTCACTTTGGTTTACATGCCCTGCACAAATTGTCAGTTGGATTTAAGGCCAATTCTTGCACCAAAATCAGCACTGTGGCCCTTTGGCATCTCTCTCCTTCCGTGCACAGACAGCCTTAATGCAACAAAAGCCTAGCAACAGTGGTGGGGAAACGAGGCAAATCATTGGCCTGTAATTTGAGCCTGGCTTCACAGACCCTTTTGTGCCTGTTTCCTTGGACACCAGAAGCAGGAAGTGATCAGTTAAACCAAGCACCTCCAACAATCCTGCACCAGGGCTTGCCTTTGCATGCAGGCTATGAGGGGCCTACTAACTAGCCAGGAACAGGATGGCTGGAGAGAACTGATTAACAAGGAGGTTTTCTGCAGGATCAACTGGAAGGCAAAATATGGACGAAAATGTACCCAGCGCCTGCCTGATCATGGCATCTCCAGGCAAAAGTGTTTGTTTCCTGACATCTACCTTCCCAAGGAGGACTCAAGCTCTAAAAATCAAGAAGGAGTTCCCCAAAAGGAGGATCGCCAGGCACCAGCAGAAGAGAAAGTTGGGCTAAGTCTTCAGGAGCCTCTTCCAGAGATGAGGGTCCCAACCCCAGAGACCACACAGCTGCTATATAAGGGCTTCTCCCATGAAGGTAAAGGAAGGCAGAAGTACCTCAAAGAGAGAATGATGAAGTCTCCTGAAGAAAAGTTTTGTTACCCGGTGCTGTCTTCGTGGGAGTATGGTTGGCGCTTAGGTAAGCAGGGTTCCCCACTCTGATGCTTCCTACAATAAACCCAGTTTATTGATGGCAATTCAACCCTAGCCCCTAAGATTTCGAGTCCCCCTTATGAAACAAAAGAGTCTTTTCCCACTTGCTCCCATGACATCCCCTTCCTCTCATTTCCCACCAACTAGCCAAACTTAGCTGGACTGGAATTCAAGTAGCATTTCCCTCATTATTCCAACAGTATCCAAGGGTGGCCTCAAGGTGTGTAAAAATTTGGTTAGCCATGGCCATAGAAGGTAGTCAGTGACTGTAGTGACTGAGAACAGAGGTGAGAAATAGTGGGAAAATAATAATAATAATAATAATAATAATAATAATAATAATAATAATAATAATAATAATAATAATTTTATTATTATTATTATTATTATTATTATTATTATTATTATTATTATTAATAATAATAATATTTCCATGCTGCCCACTCTCCAAGGACTCTGGGCGGCTTACACCAAAGACAGTATACTAAATAACATATTGCCCCCAACAATCTGGGTCCTCATTTTACCCACCTCAGAAGGATGAGGTGGGCTCAAGGTTGACTCAAGGCTGAGTCAACCTTGAGCCGGTGAGATTTGATCTGCTGAACTAGCAATCAGCTGAAGTAGCTGCAGTACTGCACCCTAACCACTGCGCCACCTGATAAGTATTAGTAATGGACACAGAAAATTTTATGTAGGTACTGGTTTCCACTGACTCAGTGGTGGGTAGAGAGCCATTCAACTCAACCAAGGAAAAGGAATCTCTATGCAGTGGCCAGGACATATCTCAGCATATTAAGCTGCATTTGGATGCTAGAAGAACAGGCACCCCCTATGGAACCTTCCTCACATTCCTTCCTCCCTGAGTTATTCCGGTTTTTGCTGCCCATCTCCTGCACCCGCACCACCATCTGGATTTGTAAAAGTTTGTTTGCCCTTTACCTCATCGGCCCTCCTTCTTTCTTCTTTCTCCCCCTTCATCAGTGGTGGAATTCAATTTTTTTTACTACTGGTTCTGTTGGTGTGACTTGCTGGGCGTGGCTTGGTGGGCATGGCAGGGGAAGGATATTGTAAAATCTCCATTCCCTCCCCACTCCAGGGGAAGGTTAAGTAGCCTCTTGAAGTAACAGTAGCAGAGCTGGAAGGGACCTTGGAGGTCATCTAGTCCAACCCCCTGCTCACGCGGGAGACCTATACTAGGGATTCGAACCGCTAACCTTTCTGATTGACAAGCTCAGCATCTTAGCCTAGGGAGCCGCCTGAGCCACCTAGGGAGCTGCCCTAGGTTACTGCAAAATCCCCATTTCCTCCCGATCAGCTGGGACTCGGGAGGCAGAGAATAGATGGGGGCTGGACCAGTCAGAGGTGGTGTTTACAGTTGTCTGAACTACTCAAAATTTCCACTACTGGTTCTCCAGCAGTGGTGGGTTCTGCCCGGTTCCACCCGGTTCCGCTGAGCCGGTAGCGGTGACAATATGACATCACCAAACCGGTTCTGCCTCCCCGCCTCCCCACCCCCCACGTTATTCTTACCTTTTATTTGGCCCCACCCCCAATCTATTGCTGCCTCCTGAGTCCCAGCTGATGGCTAGAGGGAAAAAAACTGTTTAAACTCTTGCCGCGGGGCTTCAAAGGGCCGCCCTACAGCTGATCAGTGTTAAAAGAAAACAAATGAGTAGACTGGTGCCTGCAAAAATAAATGGGTAGACCAGTGCCTGCAAAAATACATGAGTAGACCAGTGCCTGCAAAAATAAATGGGTAGATCGGTACAGCTCTGCAAGCAGTTAAAAGCCTGGTAGACCAGTACCTCTGCTAAATCCTAAATAATTGTCACATGACCATCAAGCCACGCCCACAAAAGAAGCCACGCCCACAGAACCGGTAGTAAAAAAAATTAGAACCCACCCCTGTTCTCCAGGACTGGTCAGAACCTGCTGAAACCCATCTCTGTCCTTCATGTCTACTTCCATTCTCCTGTAACATGACATTTTGTCAGTACTTGAAATCTGAGGTTACCACCACTGGATGGTGCCTGAATCAAAGGCACCTATCAAATACACCTACCTACCTACCTACCTACCTACCTACCTACCTACCTACCTACCTACCTACCTACCTACCTACCAAATAAATAAATAAATAAATAAATAAATAAATAAATAAATAAATAAATAAATAATATAGATTGCCTTTGATGGAGCAAAGGAAAGAGAAACTTCTAATTTGCCTGGAGTTTTGCTTCCCAAATCTGGCAGTGCCCTAATAAAAAATCCAGAAATCTCACATATAGAAAGGGAGGGAGGGAGGGAGGAGAAAATAGATCTGGTTGTGTATATGTAAGAGAGAAAAGTGTGTATAAGAGGAGGAGGAGGAAAGTAAAAGGCTGTGTTGGTTTGGTGGAAAGGTTTGCTGCTTACTGAAACTGAATGTAAGCTGCATTACAACATTTTGCCCAGGGACATAAAGATAATATTTGCTAAAATATTAGCTTATCTAAGACATCAAAGCAAAAGATTCCATTTAATACAGAATGCTAAAAAGAGTCCACATTCATAACTAGAGGTAGGCAGAGAATAGAATAAATTAGGATTAGGATTAGAATAGAAAAATGGTTGTCTAATCTCTTCTTAAAAACTTCCAGTGTTGGAGCATTCACAACTTCTGGAGGCAAGTTGTTCCACTGATTAATTGTTGTAACTGTCAGGAAATTTCTCCTTAGTTCTAGGTTGCTTCCCTCCTTGATTAGTTTCCACCCATTGCTTCTTGTCCTGCCCTCAGGTGCTTTGGAGAATAATTTGACTCTCTCTTCTTTGTGGCAGCCCCTGAGATATCGAAACACTGCTATCAAACATCAGTCACTTTGATGGGGACATGAGCTGCAAGGAAAACTGCTTTTGAAAAGTTGGCTGGTTCAAAGAAAGCTGCAGCGAACTGGTCTTGCAGGCTTGAAGACTGTGTATCTATAGATGTTTTCTTACTTGGAGGTGCATGTAGTAAAACATCACTATTCATTAATGTCCTCCTCTTCTAGGATATTTTACTGGCCGTCCTTGCTCTGTGGCTGGCATCAGCCCAGCCATTGCTAGCCAAAGCCCAATTGCACTGCTATTCCCTCCTCCCAGTCTTCCACCTGTTAGGACCTACGTGAGGCTGGGAGTATCCTGCTGGACTTCCCAGGTCTTATTTTCAAGGAATCCACTATTAGTAAACCCAGCAAAGAGTAGCACTCTCCAGAAATACCACCTCCCATCCCATTTGTGGCTTCCAAGAGAGAATGGCTGTCAGGAGTGCCAGCAAGTGGTTGACACTGTGGGTGTAGACGTGGACAAAGCTTCTGAAGTGAAATGTCTCAACAAAGATTTTTGAGATTTGTTATGATTGGGGGCAGGATTAAGCTAATGGTAACTGGCCTAAAGGATGGGAAACAGAGCATGGGGAAATGTAGATGTTAAGATATTACTTCAGGAAGTATGTATGATGATTCTCATATGATGGATTTTTTTCCAGTTTTCTTTTGTCATTGAAATGGAGCAATTGTTTTATAGAGGTATGGAGGGAAGAAAACTAAGAAAATCTCATTTTAGAATAAAATTAATTTCTTTCTCTGCCAAGAAATGTACATTTCCCTCACTCTGAAGAAGAAATTGATTGTTGCTGGATAATAATGTGTTGATTTTTGACCTAGTCTCCCTTTTAGATATACTGTATATTTAATATTATTAAGTTCAGATTTAATGAAATTGTATTTTAAATAATCAGCATTTTGTTTTGTAGGAATCCATCCTCAGTGTTAATTTATGTATGGGGTAGGAATTCCAAACCTAGTTTTTTGCATTGGGCCTATATTCCTTAAACCTATCTCAGGCAAATCTTTTTCTAAGTTGATAATTTTCAGGGGTTTTAGGACTATGATTTAGAATAGAATAGAATAACAGAATTGGAAGGGACCTTGGAGGTCTTCTAGTCCAACCCCCTGCCTAGGCAGGAAACCCTACACCACTTCAGACAAATAGTTATCCAACTAGCTTGATTCCCTCTTCTTTGTGGCAGCCCCTGAGATATTGGAACACTATCATGTCTCCCTAGTCCTTCTTTTCATTAAACTAGACATACCCAGTTCCTTCAACCGTTCTTCATATGTTTTAGCCTCCAGTCCCCTAATCATCTTTGTTGCTCATCTCTGCACTCTTTCTCGAGTCTCCACATCTAAAGAGGTTGGCATGATAAAGACATATAGACAAATGGAAAACAACTACTTTGCCCATGGATCAAATCAAAGCACTAATACATTTGCTTACTTATCTTCTGAACTTTGCTTTATTGCAATTTGGAGTCATTTTACTACCTTATACGCAGAAATCAGAACAGCTCTATGTGTGCAGTAGTGGTGGCATTACCACCACCACTAGAATCAGGTGGCTTTATATATTGCTAAAATAAATAAAGTACTGTGAATATATTGTTTGTTTTTTGATCATAACAATTTTCCACTAAAGTTTCTCAATCTTACCAACTTTAAGATGAGTCCAGTTCCCAGAATTTTCCAGCTGGCTGGGGAATTTTGTCAGTTGAACTCCAACATCTTAAAGTCCAACTTCTTAAAGTTATTAAGATAAGAGAATCCTGATTTAGATCTTCCCTAAATTGATGCTCCCAAGATGTATTGAATTTACAACTGACAAAAATCTCAGCTGGGAATTCCAGAGCTTCAAAGGGAATACACCTGGAAAGCAACTGGTTGTGTAAGGAAGGTCTGGGAACCCACACATAATATCCTTCTGAAGCTCTTTTTAGCCTTGTTCGGTTTGAGATTTGCTGGCCAATTTGGCACGGCTAGGAGAAAGAATTATGCTTGCTCAGCTAACCACTCATTACAAATTCATTTTTAATGATGGAATCTGAATAAAGTTCCAATATCTTCAATGGAGTCGTAAGGCCTAAGCATAGATCTGTTTTGATCATGTCAGGAAGTTGACGACATGTTTATCTTCATCTTTTCTTGTCAGCTAATGAATCATGGCAGTTTTACAATGGAAACTGGACATTATGTCATTTAACAAGAGGATTTCTGCTCAACATTATTCAGACAAGTTTACCTTGATAACTACAACTGCAGTCTCTACAGCTCTAAATGTAAAGGATGCCTGCTTGAAAATGCAGGGAAAATGTATTGAATTTCTGCATAGCGTGTTACTGTTGAAGAGGTGGGCATTGAGTTTTCCTCCCACAAATGCTTTTTATTCTGTTCACCAACCACTTCCTTTGGTTTCTCTTCAAACAGTAAAGAGCTTATGCCTTGTGTAAGTGCAAACAAGTGAAGCACCATCCATGGGATGCAGGCAGCACACAAAACCACGCTCCCTCCAGTCTGCGGTTAAACCTCTCTCCACAGAACTGGTCCCTGCTAACCAAAAGTTTGGGAGCCGCCTCCCAAAAATTGCCTTAGGCAATTCAAATGTATTCAAATTGAGCAACCAACAAAACAGGATTCCTCTTCCTTGTCAGATAAGAGGAAACCATGGTTACTTGCTAATTGTAAGCATACACAGATGTCTGTACTGGAGCTTTGAGCAGAACAGGTCATCACTCTTTGCAGCTATAGATGGTGATCTCACAAGCAGTCTGTCTTTCAGGGCAAATAAATCCCTGATGCGGATTTCATCATGTCAGGAAATGGATGACACGTCTATTGTTCTCTTGCCTTATCAGATGATGAATTGTGTTTGTGGTGCAGAGGGATCTGAACTTTGGCAGTTGGAATTCTGTTACAAATTGTTCAAGCAAGTTTACCTTTCCAAAGATGCAGTGGCTAGGGCATTTCGTTATATATGGATGTGATGGTTGGTGCTTTCTGTTCAAACATACCTCAGCAAACATTAAGAAGAAACTGCTTCTCTCTCTCCCTCTTCCTCCCCCCATATCTCCTCTCTCTCTCTTTCCCTCCCTCCCTCCCTCTCTTCCTCTCTCTCCTATCTATCTACCTACCTATCTACCTGCCTACCTACCGGTATGTCTCTCTCTCTCTCTATCTATCATGTATCTATTTATTTACTGTTGCTATTCCAAAAGACATCAATGTATATAAGTCAATGCATAACAAAATAAAATAGCAAGCTTCTGAGTCCTGCCAAGCAACTAGATCATCCTTGCTTAGTAGATGTGGGATTAAATAAAACATATGAAGAACGGTTGCAGGAACTGGGTATGTCTAGTTTAATGAAAAGAAGGACTAGGGGAGACAGGATAGCAGTGTTCCAATATCTCAGGGGCTGCCACAAAGAAGAGGGAGTCAAGCTATTCTCCAAAGTACCTGAGGGCAGGACAAGAAGCAATGGGTGGAAACTAATCAAGGAGAGAAGCAACTTAGAACTAAGGAGAAATTTCCTGACAGTTAGAACAATTAATCAGTGGAACGACTTGCCTCCAGAAGTTGTGAATGCTCCAACACTGGAAGTTTTTAAGAAGATGTTGGATAACCATTTGTCTGAAGTGGTGTAGGGTTTCCTGCCTAAGCAGGGTGTTGGACTAGAAGACCTCCAAGGTCCCTTCCAACTCTATTATTCTATTCTATTCTATTCTAAATGCTAGTTTCTATTTGTTTTCCAATGTACCTTCTGATGACTATTGGTTATAGTATGGTGCCTGCCATCTTGCTGATGTTAAGCCCGTCCCCTCCCTTGCTGTCTGTGAACACCCATAATGGTGGTATTTGCAGGTTCCGGGTTCTTTCATTGGAATGACTACAGCAGTGTTGCACATGTAAAAAAAAAAAAGGGGGGGTGTCTTCCACTGCAACGCCATAATGCTGCTTCTTTTAGTTTGATCCCCTCAGTCTCCCCAGCCACATGGACGGATGCTAATCTTAAAGAAGTCTGACACTGTATACAATGATAACAGCAAAGCACATTGATACCTTTTTATTTTGTTTTGAAGGATCTGCTTTTTTTTTAATATTCACATGCCCATCTTGTTTTTAATTTAAAAAAGAGTAAAACATTAACTACAACTATCCCTATTTGACTCGTTATTATATCTCAACTTCACCTTTATTTCAGGAGACACCATTAAGGACATCAGGACGCCAGTTCATGGGAAATCTTGCATTGTAAAGGATACTTTCTACTTCAAAAATGGTACCTTCTACACTCCATCCAAAACTGACAAATTAGCATGAATACTGGCTGAAAAAAGAAAAAAATGTTCCACTATGTCACTATATGAGTGCTTATTGCAATATTAAATCAGAAGCCTTGCATGACCTGGATCCAGATTTAATCATACTTGGAGTCAACCTATTTAAACCAGCGAGGTCTAAATGAATCATGGTTAACGTTTCACTGTTAGGAGCCTGAGTGGCGTAGGAGGCTAATGCCTCCTAAGGCAGCATTTAACATCCAGCTGCCTGCAATTATTGCGAGTTCAATTCTTCAGGCTCAAGGTCGACTCAGCCTTCCATCCTTTCTAAGGTGGGTAAATTGAGGACCCAGTTTGTGGGGGCAATAAGCTGACTTTGTATAAATATACAAAAGTATAAAGGCTATTACTTAACGCATTGTAAGCCGCCCTGAGTCTCCGGAGAAGGGCGGCATATAAATCAAATTAAAAAACAAAAACAAAAACTGTTTTCAATGACTCTGTTTTAAGTTTGATCATGATCATGTGCAGATCCAACTCTATCTCATTGCCTCTATTCACAATTTCTGTTAGCCTCTTTGTTATGTGCAATATTGTCTATGCAACAGATTCGTTGTCACATACACACACACACACACATACTGCACACACACAGATATTTTATGTAAAATAAAAAGAGAGACTCCTGGCCCTGGGGGGGGGGGATTTCCCACCATTCAAGCTATAGAAGTGAAAGAGCTGAATCCTTTATACTTTCATTAGTGCCTTAAACCAGAGATAGTCTATTCAGTTTTAGAGCTCAATGTTCTATAAGATAATAGAGGTTTTTTTTAAAAAAAGAAACATCTCTTGCTTGTTATGTTGAATGTATGAAGGAACAAAGAAATGAATAAACAAAAAATATGCACAGCAAACCCCTCCCACCCCATAATGAGTTTTTCAGTTGCAGTTTCCATTGTCTTTATGAAACTAAGGAAACATTGTCAATGTCAGCATAATGTCAGGATTATGTTCTGCAACTTGACAAGGCAATCATTTACGAAGGAAAGGAAAGGAAAGGAAAGGAAAGGAAAGGAAAGGAAAGGAAAGGAAAGGGCTTCAATCATCCAGAGTCCAGTCAAAAGAGGACTGGGGTGGGTGGGTGAAGAAGCCAGGAAAGAAACTGAAGGATTCGAATTGGCAGAACCAGTTCAAGCCACGAGGCTGTTCAAATCGTTTCAGGCTCTTTGTTCATAGATTTGAATAGTCAGCCTCATATCATAGGAACAATTAAGAGTCATTAGGTTGGATATGGTCTTTGATTTTCACTAATTTTACTGTAAAGAAGATAGAATGTCACTACTTTGTGAGATTGAAATTAAAAGATTGTAGATGAGACCTCCTGTCAGGGGTGAAATCCAGCAGGTTCTGACAGGTTCTGGAGAACTGATAATGGAAATTTTGAGCAGTTTGGAGAACCAGTAGTGGAAATTTTGAGTAGTTCGGAGAACCAGCAAATACCACCTCTGGCTTGCCCCGAGTGGGGTGGGAATGGAGATTTTGCAATATACTTTCCCTGGGTAGGGTGGGAATGGAGATTTTGCAGGATCCTTCCCTTGCCATGCCCACCAAGCCACACCCACAGAACCGGTAGTAAAAAAATTTGGATTTCACCACTGCCTCCTGTACAATGTTCAGAGCAGGTTCGGAGGGAACTGAAAGATGATCTGTAAGCTACTTGAGTTCTATTCTATGAGCCCCAGAGGTCAAGGTGAAAGGCCTAACCTTGGGTAACCTAGAAAGTGATTTTCAGATCTGCCTTTGCCTGCTCTGGGGAAGAAATGAGACACTCTTTGTTCTGAACTGATGGTCCCCTGTGGATCCCAGCTGCTTTGTTCAAGACAAGGGAACAAAAGCCCTGTTGTTGCCACCACACGAGAATGTGAGAGGGAAAGCAAACAAGTGTTTAAGTTTGCCGCATGGGTGCTCATGTTTTGCAAAGTGCACCAAACAGGTATGCCTAGCAAAGCTGTCTCCACACTTAGCAGATATAATTTACAGGAAACCTGAGAATCTCACACTCAGAAGGTGCTTCTTGAAGCCAAGAAAAATGGCATTGCAGCCATCAGCTTATTATCACTGCTGCATATATGCTTGTATTCTTCAGCTTTTCTCACCATCTGATTTGAAAACGTAGCTGATTATAATGTTTTTAAGATTAAATTTGTTTTTACTTGAAGAGGTCCTATATGCCAGTGCTCCACTGAGATTGATGGTGTTGGAAGAAATATCCATCTGGTTCAGTTCCAAGTGGGGAGAAAGACACTGGAAACATATAGGCTGTTT